TTTTGGAATAGTAACAGACATCATTACCAGAATAACACATTCAACATCACTGAGATTCAGATGACTGTTCAGTATTATCTCACAGAAATGATAGTGTGGTAGCCAGTTTCATGAAGAATTTTTATCCTGATGTTTCTTTCTATCAATATAAGAGTACTTAAGTGACACTGTGAATCCAAACGATGCACAGCACTGAAGTATAGATTATCAGCATGGAGAAGAGAATAAAGGATATAGTCAAAGTTACAAAAGAAGCTAGGATGCAAAAACTATAAGTACAAAAATAACAATTCAACCATTGTTCTTAATTTTTAAATTAAAGTAGTAAATATATAAAATAATTGGTATCAATAGAACAAGGGAAATCACAATAAGCCAGTCTCAGCCATGTTGTAATCACACTGTAAAGGGTTTGGAATAAGGTCTGCAACCAATAAGAAACTTGAAACCTAACTTGTCTGCTACACAATAATGAAATTATAAAGAGGATACAGAAAGGAGAATTTAAACAGGACATACATTAAGAAAACCAATCAATAAAAAGAACAATAATTTGCTCCCCACATGACATACTGTTCACAATACTTGATTCAATGAGAAAAGGATGAAGACTTGCACCAAACATTACTTTCTGGGGGATTTGCAACCAAGAAGAAATCATATAAAGACAGCAGGTCTCGCAAACTTCACCATGCAAATCAGGTCTGTCATTTCACAAAAAACGAAATTTCCTTTTGAATTTTCATCAAAATTTTGATTAACTCACATAAACACTAACCGAAAATTATGAAAATTTTATTACCCTGGCGTACTGATTCTCTCTCTTGGATTTGCACTGAGGTCAAGGTATTATAAAACCACACTTGTCTTAAAGTCTAGTTCTGAGAAATGATCCTTTTCATGTTACAACTAGGAAGACTTTGATCTACTGACCAATGGTAGACCCTTTTAAACCTTTATCTTATACTGAAGTATGAAGTGCCCCAGGAGATTCCAGTTCTTTTGATTAAATGCCTATATCACCTTTCCAAGGGTATTTTTTGTTGACAATGGATGTTGGAGTGAGGATATTTAATTGCTGTTTCTACAGTGTCTCTTTGTTGGTCATAAATAGCTATTGACCATAAAATTAATCCTTCACACTTGAACAGTTCCGTTCAAGTCAGAATTGTTTTTTCTATTCAAATAATACAATGACAAAAATTTCTTTTAACCATTCAGTGTATCATAACTAAAATAAAATATATTTTGAATACTTTGCATGTACTTTTAACCTCTCTTGACAGAGAAAAAGGTATTTTCACATCACTTATTGTAGTATCTTTATTTGTTCTTCATCTGTTAAATAATTTCTCTTCTTTTTTTCTTTCCATTCCATCCCAAAATCAAATATGCACAAAAAGTGACTTCATAAAAAGCCATTCAGGATTTCTCGAGAATTAGCAATAACCAATTATAACTGCACAATTTAAGATGGTCTCCTGTCAGACATTTTTTACGATCAAATCTGTCCTATAATGGATAATGATCAACTAGAGACTACTAAAATACAAAACAAAACTACAATTTATATATAAAGTTGGATTATGGTGCATTCATTACTTCAAAAATAGCCATGACAAATTTCAACTTTCAAAATCCAAGATGGCCACCTGCCCACCCCTTTGTTTTTCAGTCTACAAATTGATCAAGCATAATATTGGACAGGTAACAGGGTAGCTATAACAGGCCAGTTATATATTGGGTGTTAGGACATGATAACAAGACAATTACACATTGGGTGTTATGACGCTGATAACAAGACAGTTATATATTGGGTGTTATGACACTGATAACAAGACAGTTATATATTGGGTGTTAAGACACTGATAACAAGACAGTTATATATTGGGTGTTATGGCATTGACAACAAGATAGTTATATATTGGGTGTTATGACACTGATAACAAGACAGTTATATATTGGGTGTTATGACACTGATAACAAGACAGTTATATATTGGGTGTTATGACACTGATAGCAAGACAGTTATATATTGGGTGTAATGACACTGATAACAAGACAGTTACATATTGGGCGTTAAGACACTGATAACAACACTGTTATATATTGGGAGTTACGACACTGATAACAAGACAGTTATATATTGGGTGTTAAGACACTGATAACAAGACTGTTATATATTGGGTGTTATGACACTGGTAACAAGGAAATTGTGGTAAGGCATTCATCTATTATTCATTTCAATTTATATTAAAGACTTTAAGAATGACCTTGATGGGTCCTTATTGAGAAATTTATATTCAAAGCTAATATGGTATGCTTATTTCTTCAAGGGAACTTGGTGAGGCTTTGAGTAGAAAGTTTTCATGTTTTGCAATATCTGGGTCTCCCTAGTAAAGTGGGAAGGAATTGTCTGATGTTTCACCAAAGAAAATGGAAAAGGTCTGATGTTTTACCAAAGAAAATGGAAAATGTCTGATGTTTCACCATGTCTGATGTTTTACCAAAGAAAATGGAAAATGTCTGATGTTTTACCAAAGAAAATGGAAAAGGTCTGATGTTTTACCAAAGAAAATGGAAAATGTCTGATGTTTCACCATGTCTGATGTTTTACCAAAGAAAATGGAAAATGTCTGATGTTTTACCAAAGAAAATGGAAAATGTCTGATGTTTCACCAAAGAAAATGGAAAATGTCTGATGTTTCAACATGTCTGATGTTTTACCAAAGAAAATGGAAAATGTCTGATGTTTTACCAAAGAAAATGGAAAATGTCTGATGTTTCACCAAAGAAAATGGAAAATGTCTGATGTTTTACCAAAGAAAATGGAAAATGTCTGATGTTTCACCAAAGAAAATGGAAAATGTCTGATGTTTCACCAAAGAAAATGGAAAATGTCTGATGTTTCACCATGTCTGATGTTTTACCAAAGAAAATGGAAAATGTCTGATGTTTCACCAAAGAAAATGGAAAATGTCTGATGTTTCACCAAAGAAAAATGTTTTATATTTTACCAACGAAAACGGAAAATGTGTGATGTTTCACCAAAGAAAACGGAAAATGTGTGATGTTTTACCAAAGAAAATGGAAAATGTCTGATGTTTCACCAAAGAAAAATGTTTTATATTTTACCAACGAAAACGGAAAATGTGTGATGTTTCACCAAAGAAAATGGAAAATGTCTTATGTTTCACCAAAAAAATGGAAAATGTCTAATGTTTTACCAAAGAAAATGGAAAATGTCTGATGTTTCACCAAAGAAAATGGAAAATGTCTGATGTTTCACCAAAGAAAATGGAAAATGTCTGATGTTTCACCATGTCTGATGTTTTACCAAAGAAAATGGAAAATGTCTGATGTTTCACCAAAGAAAATGGAAAATGTCTGATGTTTCACCAAAGAAAAATGTTTTATATTTTACCAACGAAAACGGAAAATGTGTGATGTTTCACCAAAGAAAACGGAAAATGTGTGATGTTTTACCAAAGAAAATGGAAAATGTCTGATGTTTCACCAAAGAAAAATGTTTTATATTTTACCAACGAAAACGGAAAATGTGTGATGTTTCACCAAAGAAAATGGAAAATGTCTGATGTTTCACCAAAGAAAATGGAAAATGTCTGATGTTTTACCAAAGAAAATGGAAAATGTCTGATGTTTCACCAAAGAAAATGGAAAATGTCTGATGTTTCACCAAAGAAAATGGAAAATGTCTGATGTTTCACCATGTCTGATGTTTTACCAAAGAAAATGGAAAATGTCTGATGTTTCACCAAAGAAAATGGAAAATGTCTGATGTTTCACCAAAGAAAAATGTTTTATATTTTACCAACGAAAACGGAAAATGTGTGATGTTTGAATATAGTTATATATTGGGCTGATTTGTGCTGTAATAAACTTGATGGGTCAAAACATTTATCATTATTCAAAGAAAATAATCCTTATTATTAAAAGTCATGGAATGGGCTTACTACAGATAAAATGATGGTTTGTAATTTTACTAACATCATCATATATTACATATGGGTAGGCTTATTACCAAACATGTGCTTATTGCTGAATATATGTGTAGATATCCAAGTAAGGGATTAAGTTATTCATTGCTTATAGATCATTATAACACTCAGTCAAATTTACGTAATACACCTGTCGGTTTAAAAACTAAGTGAATGTCTTCATATATTAAATTACACATGTCCACGACTGCATAACCAACATTGAGAACCATTAGTCGAAACTGATTTTAATTGGTGATTTCAGAATATTTCATTTGGTATCGCTTTACTAGAAAATAATTTGCTGTAGGAACTGTCAAAATCCTCATTCATTCCATCTGATAAAGTGTTTGTGAGTGTTGAAAAGAAAATGATCTAAAGTGTTACATTTAATTTCATTCAAAATATACAAGTCAAAAGAAATACAGGCACTTAGCAGATCTGATATTTAGTGTGTTTAGGGTAAATGAAGAAGAGAACGAAAAAGAGAAAAACGAAGAAAATGAAGAAGACAAAGAAGAATAAAAAGGAAGAAGACAAAAAAGAAGATGAAGAGAAAAAAAAGGAAAAAAATTTACAGCTTAAAAATTACACAAACTGCTTTTCTTTGTCAGGTCAGATACAGGAAATGATTGAAAAAAAAAAGAAATAAGATAATGCTATCCTACATATATATTAACAAATTATGTTTATGTATAGATGTTTGCCTTCCTGTTGACAACCATTTCGATATTCTATTTATCTGTTTTGATTTCGCTATGTGACGTTGAACAATGAAGAGATGGAATGCACAGCTATTGTACGGTGTTAACTGTGTTTGAACAGGTACTCTATTAACGTGTAAAATGATCATCAACTTCGCCACACTGGCCTTTATCTGTCACCATTATAACCCGTGTACATGTTTAGTCGTTAACCTAGATGTTCGGGTTATTTACATTTTTAATAAGGATACAAATACATACATTGATAAATAAAACAAAACATAATATATATAATTACCTGATTGAAGGGCCGTACACGAACGGCTACTTTCACGCTATCGGAATTGGATGGCATGTTGAATGAGGCCTAGATGGTCATTTTGACTCAACAGATCACTTGAAATAGTCACAAATTAATCCCAAGGTCTGAGTTAAATCTCAGAAAATCTTCTCCGGGTGTCGGAATCTGAAAGAATGTTGGTTGTAATGTTTGTCTCCATGTTTACTGTACCTCACGAGCGTGTGTTCTGACGAAATGTTAGCAGACGACAGTGACGGCCAGTATCGCTACCCGAACAATACATGCAAATGAGACACGTGGGTGTTATATACCTGACTTTACTTCCAGAAACAACGGAAGGGAACTAATCTGCTTCATTTGTTTCGTATACAAATTTAAAGGTATGTTCTACATCGATGTATTTCAACACTGTTCGGTAGTTAATTAGTCACAATAACGAAAGAATGTTATACAAACTACGGTATGTGAGGACGATCATTTTAAAAGTATAATCAGAGACACAAATATAACACATATGTCTCAGGTATAATACTTAACACGAAGCAATGACTTGTACGTATATCAATGTATCAATTGCTTTAAGTTCGAATTAATCTTATTTGAATTTAAATTACTTCATACCGGTAATTCTTGTAGTCTTGCTAGTTGATATTCACCGGGTGTTCAATATGTTATACCATAATCCCTATCTTAACAACTATTTTTTTACATAATGCACACGTTAACAAAATTTATTTATTTATTTATTTAAAGGATAAATATCTATCTATTGATCATATATACTGATCGAGTGCAAACTAAAGATTTAAATCGAATTAAATCGGACAAGTGTCTTGGTTGAGCATTTAGACCAGGCGCTTTATCTTAATTGCTCTGGAAGGCTTGCGACGGACCTCTTGTAATTTTATCAATAAGGAAGTCACCACATATACTACAAGGAATGTAACTCGGTCTGTCCATGGGTCTATAAATTCAGCTAACAGACAATCGTGTGAAAAAGACAAATAAAACAAAAACAAAAATCGGTACTACCAGCGCCACGATTCATGAATGCCTAGAATTGTTTATCTTGATATAATTGTTTTACTTACTTCTCCGGCGTCAATTTTTCAATCTAACGAGGACGAAAATTTATACCATATTAGAGAATTGATATCTGAAATATGATCATTTGTGACAGTAAATTCATCTGTTATATAGACATATTTGAGTAAGATGTAAAGCTCCTGTAAACTAAATTGTGAAAATGATGCCCACCTTGCGTTGCCAGACTTGACCAACCAAACCTGTAATTAGTTGATACGCTAGGCACCCATTATTTACAATGTTGGTTCAGAGGTTTATAAAACAGAAAGTAAATCGATAAGAGGATCACACCTCATTGTTGTGGTATTATGTTGGGTTGTCGTCATGTGTCACTGAATTAAGGCATGACGAATTCAAACCCAGTCAAATAACTAAATAGTCGAGTATTAAGGTTACATAGTCTCCTTCCCAACCAGTACATATATGTTTTTATTTAAAACCGATCGCCAGATACCAGATACCTGTTTTTATTTATTGACCTTGACGTCATCAATTACGTCAGTTTTGAAATATGTACCCTGTAATGTTATAGCACTAGACTGGTATTACATCACGTGGTCCAAGAAAAATCATGACGTAAAATCATACAAAGTCTATTGTTTTGTTTCCAAAAGAATGACATCAATACACCACCTTCACAGAAACTTTTAAGTAGTATAACCAATAATGTATATATATACGTAATATACTGCTTAGAACACATCAACAAGTTGGTAAATGGAAATTCTGGAACCAGTCTTTTCAAATAGATGTAGTCATTTACCAGTCTTTAGAATTGAATATTTGCTTTTATGAAGCTGTTGCGAGATAGAAATTTTCATTTCAACAGCCATGGAAAAAATCGTCCAGGGATCACACTGTACCTCTCTTTCGGAGAGTCACAATAGAGGTTGTGGTTCAATAGTCACGCTGTGTAATGTTTTTCGTGTTAGACCATTTAATCTTTATGTATGAAATGATTAATTATTCTACCTTTGATACAACATCAATACATTTTACATTGTGTTTTAATTCCTACGAAAATACTAGACGCACAGATGGTCTTCTGGCTGGTTGACTTTCAGGCTTGGCTCGTAAATAATACTTTACTACTCTTTGAATGCTTCCCGCAATACATCTACATAACGGACCACGCAATGTTTATAATGGGAAAACGTGACCTGCTACATTAAATTTTACCGTGAAGTCACACGCATATTAACGCGTGATCAAAGCCTGCCCTCGTGCTGTTTCACGGCCTGAATAACTAAACCTAATTCTATATGGAGGAGCTGGAAAAATAGTTCGAAGTATTTGGCGCTGGTAGATCACCACCGTCAAGACTGGGTGCTGCGCGTTAACTTCAAATTTTTGAACGTGAAAGTTATACATAACGGCAATGACTCCGCTGAATAGGACGTTCAGTTAAATCACTTCCGATGGCAGTAACGGCTGAATGAAAGTACACTAAGCGGATAATAATGAACTTGACTCTAGTTCACGAGAGGTCACATGATGGCCACTTGACGGCTTTCTGTGTTGACGATCCTCAAGTCAAATTTGACAAAAGTAACGTAACAGACGTGATCATATTCAACGGATTAACCATGGTGGGTCATGACGGAGTTTGATTTCACTTATCCGGGAGACCCATTGATGGATTCACGACGGAATATGGCCCTTCGGAAAAACAAGGATTCATAGCCGTATGAAAATTGGCAATTAAATGGGCTGTTCTCCATTAATAGCGGTCACTGCAACATTTCTACTCCACGAAACCATGACGAATCCTCGTTCGTGCCGGTCGCTAGGGAATGGAGGGGCTTGATTAAAGTGATGCAAGTGACGTCAATGACCTCAGACACTAGTAGAAAAAAATGATTACTTTTCAAAATATTCAGCACTTGACTCTTTTCTATTTTTCGGTTGGAAGAATTGTCAAAAGGGAAAAATCTTAGAGATCATGGCTTTCCGACCCTCATAATTCAACTATTGAAGAAACTACGGCAAAGACAAAAGCCGACGTACATGTATGATCCAACAGTACAACTAGCACTCTAACGTTGACCTGAAGATCCCAAAGAGTTGGCGCTGAAATAACATCTATCCTCACTGTTAATTACCCGCGGTCTCTGACATTCCATGTTTCTCCCATTTATAAAAAAAAAATGTCAAAAATTCATACCTGAAAATTTTCATCCAGTTTCATTGACGTATGTGTACTGTAAAATCATTGAGAATATTACCGTCAGTGAAGTCATTACGCATACCAATTCATAAGTTAAGACACTCTGGTATAAATCAGTCTGTTGCCACAGTGATTGAAAGTCTTCTACCAGGAAGGACACAGGCCGTTGAGGGGGAAAGGTCCAAGTATGCAAATGTCTTGTCTGGGTCTTACAGGGTTCGTTGATTGGCCCAGCATGTCGTGTCAAAGATTAGAAATAAATCCCCTAATAAGTACACATACACTATATATGGATAATCACTCCATGTAGATGAAGCTAGATATTGGGGTCTTAACATTTAATCTTATTGTAAATGGGATACACAGATTCTACTCTAGGCTTCCTTAGAGGAAATTTGAAAGAAGGGTCCACATCCATTAAAGAAAAAGCTTACAAGACCTTATTTAGACCATCTCTGTAATATTCCTAGTGTGCATGGGACCCCTTTACCAGGACTGACGTCGGATAGACACACATAGCAACCTGCTTCATACTACTATAGACACACAGGGCAGCCTGCTTCATACTACTATAGACACACAGGGCAGCCTGCTTCATACTAATAGACACACAGTGCAGTCTGCTTCATACTAAGAGACACACAGGGCAGCCTGCTTCGTACTAATAGACACACAGGGCAGTCTGCTTCATACTTATAGGCACAGGGCAACCTGCTTCATACTAATAGACACACAGGGCTACCTGCTTCATACTAATAGGCACATGGTGCAGTCTGCTTCATACTAATAGACACACAGGGCAGCCTGCTTCATACTAATAGACACACAGGGCATCCTGATTCATACTAATAGGCACACGGTGCAGTCTGCTTCATACTAACAGACACACAGGACAGCCTGCTTCATACTAATAGACACACAGGGCAGTCTGCTTCATACTTATAGGCACAGGGCAACCTGCTTCATACTAATAGACACACAGGGCTACCTGCTTCATACTAATAGGCACACGGTGCAGTCTGCTTCATACTAATAGACACACAGGGCATCCTGATTCATACTAATAGGCACACAGGGCAGCCTGCTTCATACTAACAGACACACAGGGCATCCTGATTCATACTAATAGACACACAGGGCAGTCTGCTTCATACTTATAGGCACAGGGCAACCTGCTTCATACTAATAGACACACAGGGCATCCTGATTCATACTAATAGGCACACAGGGCAGCCTGCTTCATACTAATAGACACACAGGGCATCCTGATTCATACTAATAGGCACACAGGGCAGCCTGCTTCATACTAACAGACACACAGTTCAGTCTGCTTCATACTAACAGACACACATGACAGCCTGCTTCATACTAATAGACACACAGGGCAGCCTGCTTCATACTAACAGACACACAGGACAGCCTGCTTCATACTAATAGACACACAGGGCAACCTGCTTCATACTACTATAGACACACAGGACAGCCTGCTTCATACGTATAGACACACAGGGCAGCCTGCTTCATACTAATAGACACACAGGGCAGCCTGCTTCATACTAATAGACACACAGGGCAACCTGCTTCATACTACTATAGACACACAGGGCAACCTGCTTCATACTACTATAGACACACAGGGCAACCTGCTTCATACTACTAGACACACAGGGCAGCCTGCTTCATACTAATAGACACACAGGGCAACCTGCTTCTTACTAATAGACACACAGGGCAGACTGCTTCATTCTACTATAGACACACAGGACAGCCTACTTCATTCTACTATAGACACACAGGGCAGTCTGCTTCATTCTACTATAGACACACAGGGCAACCTGCTTCTTACTAATAGACACACAGGGCAGACTGCTTCATTCTACTATAGACACACAGGACAGCCTACTTCATTCTACTATAGACACACAGGGCAGCCTGCATCATACTAATAGACACACAGGGCAGTCTGCTTCATTCTACTATAGACACACAGGACAGCCTGCTTCATACTAATAGACACACAGGGCAGCCTGCTTCATTCTACTATAGACACACAGGGCAGTCTGCTTCATTCTACTATAGACACAGGGCAACCTGCTTCATACTACTATAGATACAGGAACATGTCCAGTGTTGGTGCAATGCTGGGTAGTCTGGGCTGGCCCATTCTAGAAAAGTGAAGGGACTCTTTAAGATAGTGCATGACTGTATTGCCATACCCATGGATAAATTGAGGGAGGGGAGGGGGGGTGGGTGGGGGAAGCGGATCATTACAGTTATCAATCCCATTAACGTTCAACAGGTTGTTTAAATACCATGCAACTGATCTACGATCTTTGAATTATTCTACATAAAGGCACTTTTATGTAATACGGACAAACCACATTTTTCACGTGTTTTGTAAATTAAAAGGGTATTCTATACCAGTTTGAAAATATCTGGATGTTTATGCCTTTTCTAAAAAAAAACTATATATAGAAAATATTAGAAAGAAAACATAAAAGGTTATTCTCTCTCTAATGACTTAAAACTATTGTCAGCATCAAACTATCCTTTCTAAGATCAGTTTGGATTGGCGGAATTTGTGGAAATACAACCTGCCAATGCAAATTAGACTGTCTATACAAAGTTCATTGGCGAATCTGGAACACGGCCACTGACTGGATCATCAATTTTATGTGAAGCATTTGGGAAATACACAAGTGTGTATGCTGTTCACTTAAAATTTCTGCTGGGATTTGGAATTCCTTTGCTAAGTTTGGTAATACCCAATCCTGTTACAGTCTGACAAATAATATACAAACATACTGACATCAAATGTTTAATTTATCATTATTTCCAACATACATTATGCTTTCACACATTCTTTCTTTCATGTTGATGATATTCACACACAGAAACCATGTTGTTTTTTTCCCAAAACTGCACTATTTTCCAATTGATAATTTCATCAAAGCACTTCACATGTCCAAGACCTAGTTGTTCAGGTCCTAGGGATGACAGTCTGATTGTACATAAAACATTAGAGATACAGCCCCTCTGGAGTTCCCTCATTCTTCCTGTACAGCACATTCTCCTTGGCCTTCGAGAAATCTTCATTTCTCACCTTCATTCTCCTCTCTCTCAGAGCTAGTAAGCCAGCTTCTGTACATATAGCCTGTTCAAAGATAAAATTTTGAAAAAAATCTTGTTAAAAGCAGATTTTTAATGTGGTGTGAAATGTGTATCTATAAAATTAAGGTAAAATAAAAACTTCAAAATGACTTCAGTTTATTCTTTCTGACATTGGTGCCAATGACACAAATACAATAGGAGGTACAAATTGTTCAATACACCTTCACAAATGCTGCTCTAATTGGCTGAAATCTGTAGCAGTTTTTACCTTAATGTCTGCACCAGATAGGTCATCCTTTGCCATGACATAGTCATCAATGTTAACATTGTCGGCTAGAGTCATTCTACTTGTGTGGATATTGAAGATTCTCCTCTTTGTTTTCTCATCTGGTAATGGAAACTCAATCTTCCTGTCAATTCGACCAGGTCGAATCAAAGCAGGATCTAGAGTCTCTATCCTGTTTGTAGCCATGACAACCTTCAATAAAATACAGAATATTAGACACAGTAAAGGCTAGTCCAGCATACAGGGAAAACATATCATCCTTATACCAGTACTGTATTCAAACTAACAGGTAAGAAGTTGTCAAATTCCTTGTAAATGCCTCCAAATTTTGCAAAAAAAACAACAGCACAAGAGTAACAGAAACATATCACAGTTTCCATCCCGCAAGCAATCAATAGTATTGATATTCATCAAGAAGCAATAAATATTCTACTTATTATATTTTTTCACATTTTTTTTGCCACTTTGAATTTGTTGTTCTGTCTAAATATGAAATGCATGCTCTACTATCACTACTCCAACAGCATATCCTTTCACATCTAAGACACAGATACTCAAATTATCAAAGTATTTCATATAACATATGAAACATTCTGATGATTAAATTCAGAATTACCTGGATTAGTGCATGAAAGTAAATAGAGCGTTCTCAATTTCTATCAGGCTATGTCTGCCCGAGTTCTTGTTTCTGAAGTTTGCAAAGCATTCTGGGATAATGGATATTTTCAAACTGCGAAAGTTGTGATCCGACTGGTCAAAAATGAGTGAAAATATCAAAACTTGTTATTTTCACATGACTTATATTTTTAACCATAAACCTTATATTTCACTACAAAATTAAGGAATTTTAATGTTGGATAATTTAGGATATAAAGATTTTGAATAGCAATATATTCAAGGTCATGGATAGGTTATAGCCTTTGTTAATATTCGCTTATTTCTGAAACATAATTCTGATGTAAAAGACAAGATGTAAACTCACCTTGACATCTCCCCGGGAATCAAAGCCATCAAGCTGATTCAACAGCTCTAACATAGTCCTCTGGATCTCTCTCTCACCACCAGAATTGGAATCATATCTAATATAAACAAAAATATTTATTAGGACAATAATGTTGTTAAACACTTTCTGCTTTATCCAATTGCAGAACCAAATTTTAAAAATGTAACTTTTACCTGTATCACTCGCCCTTATAAGATTTACATACAGCTTACTAAGGGAAACAACTCTGACTGTAAAAATCACAACTAGGCAATTTACAATCAAGTGATATTTCATAAGACGTAAGGAAAATATTGTTAGGGAACTAACCTTTTTGTTCCCACAGCATCAATCTCGTCTATAAATACAATAGATGGAGCATGTTCCTCTGCAACTCTGAACAGTTCACGAACAAGTTTGGGACCATCACCCTATAAACACACATCAGTAAATATTTGTCTCATAATCTCATAAAAAAACAGCAGTATTCATTACTAAGATACACTTCTTTTGCTAAATATGTAAATGTTGATTTAAATGTAGTGAAACTTACCAAATATTTTTGTATAAGTTCTGAGCCGACTACTCTGAGGAAGGTAGCTGAAGTTTGATTTGCCACTGCCTTGGCCAACAATGTCTTGCCTGATGAATACAAAGTGAAAGTGGTTAGTTGGTAAAGGGTATTTGTTTTAAATTTCCTTGTAGCATTTTCTGCTATACATTGCTTCCACTATTGGCTTAATACTAGGATGAATTCTCTTATCACATTGTTATCCAGAAGATTAGGTATTTAAAGTTTTTTTCTGATTATCAATACAACTTTAAATTGCAACAAAAATTGAATTTTAAAGAATTCGGAAATTTCATACTGAAGCAAGAACTGGTAACTTTGTTTTGGGACTTACCTGTGCCTGGGGGACCATACAATATAACACCTTTAGGAGGTTTGATTCCCATCTCTTCATAGTATTCTGGATGTGTGAGAGGCAGTTCCACAGATTCCTACAAGAATATTCAGTGATAAAAAAGTATGCATGTGTCAAAATTTCAAAGACACCTTTTACATAAATAGAAGACAGTGATCATAATTGATCAACAGCTCTACAAATATCAATCACACTTTTGCCAATGCCTTAAAGCATACTGAATGTTAATATTTTAGCCTAATAAAAGTTTGAGCAAAGAAACATTCACCAAAAATCATTAATATCAATTCAAATCAACACAGCTATCAACACTATTGAAGAATAAAATTTATTTCAAGAAACCTGACAATAATTTCCAATCAAATCTACATTGTAACCAAAATCATTAAACTGAACCCTAGTACTGTGCAGCAGGCATGTTTGCATATTTTGCCAAATCTTTCAGAAACATCAAAATCAATCCCAGATTTTAAATTTTGAGACTGGTAAGTCTTTAGAGTGAATTGTTAATTATCAGAATGATTGAAGGTGTGATCAAGATATATAAAACATTTATGAATCAAAAGTTTGAAATATTTTCTTTCAAGGTGGAAACTTTCAGTTGAAATGAACAGTCTCCAAGTCAATCATTTAAAAGAGATGGTACAAATTTGATACCCTATCACCTATTGATAATATCAATTACAAGTTCCTCACTATTGCCTGAGACCATCACTCCCAACACCAAATAATAAACATACACAAACATCTGAAACTGTCCTCACATTCTTGCCTAAATGTATCCAACACAAACCTTGATTTCTTGAATTTGTTGGTCTAGACCACCAATGTCTGCATATGTTTCTTGTGGGGCTTTCTCCAGCTTCATCACTGTGACCATAGGGTCTACATCATCTGACAAAACACCCACTACTGCATGCACCTGTTTGAAGTAAATGGATGGTAAGGAAAATATGTCTTATTACTGGTGGGCCAAAAATGGCTAAATATCTCAACCCAGTTCTCTTTTGCATCCACATGATTTAGGATAAAATAGCTTTATCAGGTATCCTGACAGTGGAACTAAATGAAACAGTGTTAGGGATGACAGAAATGACTGTCTTCCCATAAGTAAGAGGTCACAACAAGAATTGTTGTCAAAAATATTTCCCATGACACTTTTGATACCTTGAAATAAAACCTACATGTAACAGGACAGACAGAATTATTTGACAAGATTGTTTATTGATTTCAATTAAATAGACCCAATGGGTCCAAATACAGAAGTGATAACAATGATACCAAAAGTATTATAAAACATCACACATATATAAATATCAGTGTATCATACATACAGTAGAATAAGATTCACCTATAATATAAACCATCAATATGTTGCCTTTAGGTGAGATATAAAAAGGCAAAGTACAAACTGTACTAACCTTGTGGTTGAGGAGGACTGAGCAGCCGGGCTCCAACTGATCTTTATCCACAAATGACAGTATACTGACATAGTGTTCACTTCCAACGGATGTTGATACAATGGCATGGTTATCATCAATTATTTCCTCCAAATTACCGACAGACATTGGTGAGCCACGCAACTCATCCACCTTTGTCCTTTCCTCCTGTCGACAATAGATAAGGTTTTCTCATTATGAAGTGTCAACAAAATGACAGAGTCAGTTGACTTGAAATATAATACTAAACAAAACAATAGTTCCCCTTCACATATCTGCAAAATTGATGTGACATGTTACAAGAATTAATTTTGGCCATCCAAAATAAGTAAAAGCAAACAGGAACATCCATCTACAGCTATCATTCGACAAAATTTGCGGGTTCAACTATTGATAAATATATGGGTTTTTTTTTTTCACACTTGAAGTACCTGTTGAAACAAAATATCCAAGACTTTCAACATCTGAATACAAAGTGATCTTAACAAAATCCTGCATATCAGTGATATTCTTGGTACAAGAATAATTTTGTAGCATCACAACAATAACAGTTACCCTCTCTCCATTGAAGGTGAAGCATTCTCTTATCTTTGTACTACATTTATTAAGCAAAAAGTGTAAATAATAGCTTTTACATACATGAACAACATAAATATTTTACCCAGAACCTATAAACCCCTCCAAGTGAGTAAAAATGACCAAAAGTATATCAGAAAAAGACTTGGAATTTAAAGATACGACAATCCAACACAATCTTTACCTCATGTTTCTCTTCTTGGGGCTTCAGTCTCTCTTGGTTTTTAATAAATTCTTCCTCTAATAATAAATAGTCTTTGATTCTCTCCATCTTCAAAAGTTTCAGCCGACATCTTGTATGTGGTGTAACTGTCAAATAAAATAGGAAATTTCTGTGTTTAATATCATCTTGGTAAAGTTATTACACTGGTTCAGGTTATCAATAAGGAACAGTTCCAAAACATAACATGTATGTTATTTGTTGGTATCATGTAACAAGCTTCTCCATTCAAAGTCACTCACATACAGAGGACTCGTTATGTGTTCTAGTAATGGGACTTGTTATATAATATTTGAACACATTTTCTGGACTCGCCTGGAAAAATCCATGAAAATCACTTGAAACTTTCTCTGTTTCTTAAGCTTTACAAGTATTCACAGATACTCATGAAATATAAAAGTTTTCAACTTGAACCAGATGATTATCCAAATTGTGATTGTGTTGTTACAGAAAGATAGAAAACTATCAACATACTTTTAGGGAGCTTGCTGGCAGTATCTGGACCTTTCATCTTTTTCTTCTTCTTGCCAACACGAGTTGGCACTGGGGGCTCATACTTCTTCTTTTTCTCCTTTGAAAAAATGTATTTGTTAATTTTCATTGTGAATATTGAAGATCAGTACATGCCTTTAGATTATAATAACAAAGGGAAATCCTAAAATGGCACTAAACATGCACACATTGCATTAAACACCACCTAAATGCTACAAGATAGTTAATCAATTGGTTTGACAGCTGTTATATACACAAATTGTGATTCAAGGAAAATATTTTCGTTACCAGAAATTGACTATGTTTAAAATGTTAAACTACAGATGACTAAGGTGACAGTTTATATTAATCCTAATCATTTCTAACAAAGATATGTAATAAGATAAACATTCCAGGAAATGATTCATAAGAATTATGTATCATTTCAGCATGTGACAAAATTCTTCACAGCAGAGCTTTTCAGAAAATAAAATACCATCATTTTGATACACATCTACAGATAGAATACCGAGATGTAATTTATCACTCAATGCCACTGAAAACATATCTGGATCATTATGGAAGTCAAATGGAGTAATGACAGAAAAAAATATCATGATTATTTGGAAATTGCTTTGATCAGCCTCTGAATTACAAACCTTGTCATCCTTCTTTTCCCCTTGGCCTCCAGCCCCACCGGACTGTTGTTGACCCTGAAACAGGAACCATTCAAAACTTCAGCTATGTTTCACAAATAATTTTCTTTACTCATGTTAGTTGAACCAAATAAGTCAGAGCGCAAAGTGTCTGAAATTAAGGACAAAGGTTTTGAATACTCTGAAGGGTATTTGTGTGCAGTGCACAGTATACAAATATAGGACATAATTTTTTTGTTTCAAAAAAGAAAAAAGATATTTAATATTCATCATTCAACAGTAATTCTCCTTGCACTACCAGTGCTGACATACTTATGTAAGTAATAAGCTTTCAGTCAGACTGACAAATCTGAATATTAATAGTCTACAGACAATAATGTTACAAGGTTGACGGATTTTTTGTAATGTCCCGTTATCACAAATGGCTTCCTATATAAAAATATTTGCACTTCAGTCTTCCATGAAACAGAGAGATGGTCAACCACACTACCTATCCATTTCCTTATTTTCAGACGCCATTCATAAATTTGCATCTGAACACCAGCATCAGTTGTTTGAGAGTTGGATTAAGAGTTATTATCAGCAACTACTACAATTGGGATCCTCTGTAAACAAGAGTACTGTGGGGAGAAACAACATACATCTCTCCTATACAATTAAACATTCACAAGCATTAATCCTGTTCATTTTGGAAAAATCCCATTTTACATGTCATTGTTCCTAGTCGAGCAGATAGGTATATATTCACAAAAAATTAATGCATTTTTGAAAAGTTAAAATCATCAAAAAACGGATAGAAAACAGCTCTGCATTTTAACAATAATAACCTTTGAGGAGCGGGGGGGGGGGGGTGCAGCTTCAAAATAGCAAGTCATCGACTGAAACATTTGAATATATATGTAACCAGGCCGCACAAACGGCAATTGTTCGATTTGTAAGGTTACCGGTTTTCGTTACAAATGCAAGAACCGTCTGTTTAGTTTCTATTAAATAACTGATGTGACTAAAATTAACTTTTATCGCATAAGACACAGAACCACATTCTTACCATTTTGTAACCGGAACGGAATATCAAGCATGCGCAGTCCTCAGAATTGTCTCCCTTCGACAGTTTCCGGAAATAACAATCACTGACAAGCGGACGGTGATGGACAGCGCGGACTAATCTTTCAGACAAGTACTGATGAACACATTACACATAGAACTTCTCATCCTAAGATTCAGTTAAATTAGCTTATGATCAAGTATGAATAATTAACAAAAGCACTGATAACTGCTGTGTAATATGCCCCTCGTATGAATCATCACATGTTCATGGGCCACACAAGGATTGTCCAGCTGCAGTTTGCCGTGGGACAAGTTGCGCTGTTACTGTGCTCAACAAAAACTATCTTTTAGTAGATATACATTCAACCTATCGATTTTTGTGTTTGATGCATCTTTTTATTGTCGGAATATGCCGTCAGTAGTTGAAATGATAGTAATGCTGTGATGTCATAGTTTAAAATAGCTTTAATTTGTTGTCATTGTCAGCAAGGTTTAAGAGAGAGATTTCTCGGTGATTACAAAGAGAAAAGTCTTGGAGAGATAGACTGTTGAAGCCTTGTTAGTGAGAAGTATATTTAATTTTCATCCCGCATTTTCAAAATCAGATAAAAGAGAATTGTAAGGATTCTGCAAGGAAAAATATATGTTGTGTTGAAGTTGCTTCGCAATTCGTTAGAGGCTCAGTTTGGCACGTACATTTTATAGAACAAAATGAAATGGCTTTTATACAAATATTGTACATTGTGGCATGTTGTCTTTCCATTACATTACTACCTACATACACGGAAGATTTTAAACATGAAAAGGATATGACAGACATGTATTGCTATATATGTAATGTAATGACAGGTTTTGATTTCATTTATTGAAGACAAGGGTCAGTGGTTACCTAATTTGGAGAAGGCTTCACATATTCTGACCATTTCACTTTGCTTGCCCCTTGTTTGACTTATATTCATAAATACAAACTCTATAAACCAACTTCAAGAATTATAAATCTAGAGCTAGTTCTTGCTCTCATAGTAAATTTGGTTTTAACAACATATTAATTTGTACTTAACAATTAAATGCTAAAAATGTTCAAGGAAGAAGTTATTTCAGCATCAGTGGCCTTATCTTAACCTTACTGATAATTTGATTTATGGTTTAATTTTTATTTGTTTTACAGGCACTTTGAAAGTTCTAATAACAGGAATGTCTCCCCAGCCTGAGCCAGATGGTGAGACAGACAAGGGACCTCCCTCAGATGAGGACGAAGAGGGAGTGGAGAACATTCCTACGCCACAGTTTGTCATTGACAATGCTAACTCTGAATCAGAGAGTGAAAGTGAGGATGGGGATGGTTATTATGGATATCAGATGTTACCACAGGAACCAGATGATGTATCTGGTGATACAACAGGCACAAGCGTTATGAACACTGATGAACACAGCCAGTCCAGTCAGAACAGTGAAAGTTTAACTGAGGCAGGAGCAGAGGGTCCTATTTCTGCTGATTGTGATAAAGACAAAGCTGAACCTTTAAATAAGCTTGATCATTTTATGCTGCACCAAAATGCTGGTGGACAGGCAACAGGCTACATGAAGGTATATCACACATATTAGATATGAAAAATTTCCGCCAATCGGCGGATTTCTGCCTTTTTCATGACAAATTTGGTCATTTTTGAGATCGATGCAAATCCAGTGAGAATATTTCAGGGGTAGGGGGGTTAGGTATGTTTTGATGATGCATTTTATTTTTAAGCAATCTTCATTAACTCCGTTCTTAAATTCTTCGATTTAGATGCCCTTATAAACTGTAAAGTTAAACATTGAGCAGTTATGAGCACAGAGTTTCCAGTATTGTCAAATCGATAATATGAAGGAAGATAACTCTTACATCAGTCGAACGTTTGAAAGCTATAGTTGAATTACAGCAGAGATGAAAAATTTCCGCCGATCGGCAGATTTCCACCTTTTCCAATGCCAGCCACTTTCATCTCTGATATTAGCTGTATGTATGAGCTACAAAAAATATGATGCAAATGGTTCTGTACTGATTGTTAAAAGTATGTTAACTAAAATTAGTATGCTAGTCTTTTTTCAAATCTGTTATACATAAGTTCATTGCATATGGTCAATATTCAATTGTCTATTCCAGGAGTTGATTGTACCAATGTCTTACTCTGTTCCTAAAAAATGATCACACAATTGTCCATTTCAGGTGTTGGTTAGGCCATTGTTTGCCCCAAAAGCTGGTTATGTCAGTTTTCTTTCTCTCAAGTTGATTATGGCATTAATCTTGCGGGTTTGTTATGCAGTTGTCAGACTCAGAGGTTGATTATGGAAGTTTTTCATTAGTTTTTAGCCATAATTGTCAACATTCCAAGCTGATATGCCATTGTCCATATATTCCCAAGTTGATTATCCTGGTATGGCTTTGTAAGTCTTCCAAGTTAATATGCCATTAGACTGTTCCCAAGTTTATTATGCCAGTGTCTGCCCGCAAGTTTATTATGCCATTGTCTGCCCCCAGGTTTATTATGCCAATGTCTGCCCGCAAGTTTATTATGCCATTGTCTGCCCCCAGGTTTATTATGCCAATGTCTGCCCCCAGGTTTATTATGCCAATGTCTGCCCACAAGTTTTTATGCCATTGTCTGCCTGCAAGTTTATTATGCCAATGCCTGCCCCCAGGTTTATTATGCCAATGTCTGCCCACAAGTTTTTATGCCATTGTCTGCCTGCAAGTTTACAATGACATTGTCTGCCCACAAGTTTATTATGCCAATGTCTGCCCCCAGGTTTATTATGCCAATGTCTGCCCCCAGGTTTATTATGCCATTGTCTGCCCCCAAGTTTATTATGCCAATGTCTGCCCCCAGGTTTATTATGCCATTGTCTGCCCCCAGGTTTATTATGCCAATGTCTGCCCGCAAGTTGATTATGCCATTGTCTGCCCCCAGGTTTATTATGCCAATGTCTGCCCGCAAATTGATTATGCCATTGTCTGCCCCCAGGTCTATTATGCCAATGGTTGCCCACAAGTTTATTATGCCATTGTCTGCCCCCAGGTTTATTATGCTAATGTCTGCCCCCTGGTTTATTATGCCAATGTCTGATGTGTACGCTATATATATACATGTATTAGCTTTGTTTTCTATGGTTGTTTCACAGTTACCAGACCTACCAAAGCCTGAATCCAAAGAACTATTATGGAACAAACAGAGAACATCTAATATACAAATGGAGCCAGGTAAGGATAGATTTAGCATGAAAGGTAAATATTGTTTCAATATAAAGACTTCAAATACCAAAGGAGCAGCTGGTACTGTAATATTATACACCATCAGTAGTTAACATATTTTTTGGTAGTAAACAAAGATATGAATCGGTAAAATCAATACCTGCTTAGTAAAGGTTGTAATCACATGTTTAATGAGGTTAAATATTAAAAATTGGGACTTATGTGAGGATAAATGGTATAAGTTAAACATGGATTCATGATACAGATTTCAAGTTAACTGGGGATAGATTTTAAAAATAGTAAGTTAATTTAAGATAGATTCTTAAAAATAGGAAGTTATTTTTGGGATCAATGTCAAGGATATGAAGTCAACTGGAGATACATGTTAAAGGTTTGAAGTTTACTGGTGTAAAATATTAAAGACAGGATGTTAACTTGGATAAATGTTAAAGATCTGAGGTTAACTGGGGTTAAATATTTAAGATCGGTTAACTGGGGTTTATAAATGTGAAAGATAGGTGGTTGGATAAATGTAGATAAATGTTAGATATACAATATAGGAATACTTTGATTTGAAAATAATATTTTATCTTTTACACATTAATATAAATTCAGATTTAAAGTAATTGCATTTCAGGTGTAAACAAAAAGATGAGCCTAAGCCTTTGGTACTAATTTAAGTGTTCTTCAATAATACGAGGAGAGATACCAACAAAAAAATGAAAACGAAGTAGATATTTTTCCTTATACATTGTGTTGATACAGTCTTCATTTCCTTCTGTTTTCTTATAGCCTTCAGAATAAAAGATGAAGTTGATACTTGTGATGTTTTACAGGACATGCTGAGAAAGTTAAGGCTGCCATGACTACTATCCACCTTCCTGCACCAAACATTCCAGATTGGGCCAAGAATATCTCTGAAGAGGACTGGCACAACAAACTCCTATCCCTGCAGAAGAGCAACACTTCCTGATCGTTATATCAAACCACTGGTTGTGTCATTCTCTCTCAACGGTGAAGAGTCGCTTTGCATTGTTCAGCTCCATTGTTTATCAGAAGTTTGTGAATGACAAAAACAGATATGGAACTACATTTCATGCATGACTTCCATTTGTAAATATTCATTGAATGTTTATTCTGTGAGACAATTGTGCAATCATGATTTATGACATACATCTCATACTGCGTAAGTGAAATGCAGTACATGTATGTTAACTTATTTCCTGTGCAACAATTAAGGCTATTATATTGTATATGTAAATAAAATTAAAATATCGGTCATGTTAATATTTTTTGTTTTTGTAAGATCATACATGCACCACAAAATCTCATTGTTTTCGGTTATGTAAAATTGAAACCAGTAATGCAAGTGTATTTAAGCCATGATCCAAGGTAGATAACTATTTCTGACAACATAGGTAGGAAATATAATTTTGAAGACAAATGCAATGTTAGTGTGCATTTGATTTTGACTGATTTGCTCATATTAGCAGCTGAAATCATTGTCCTTTTCTGTGCTACCATATGTAAGAGTACAAGTATGTGGTAGTGTATGTAGATATGCTGATACTTGTTATGTGTGTCAATTCTTTACAATGTTATAGCATAGAAGTCATCATACAAAGCTGTGTTGGTGGTCTCCAGTTTCTTACCATTTGCCAGGAAAACATTATTTTGTAATGGTTTAGCATTTGGATATGTAGTTTGTAAATTCATATCCTTTTGATAAAATATTGAGTTAATCACCATGTAAACAGCCTGGTAAAATGTCTTGCCCAAGGACACAAACAGCACATCTTAGTTATGATACTAACAACCATGTCTATATATATTTTCTTAAACAAAATAATTTGTAATAAATAGTGTGACCTTTTCTACTTACACAAAATGAATATTTAAAACATAACATTCCACAAAATTTGGCATATTAATAAGAATTTATTATAGCATTCTTCAACAAATTTGTATAAAGAAAAAATATGAAATCTTGAACAACTCCTATACCTAAAGGTACAAGATTACAGTCATTCACACAATGTGTGAAAAATCAATGTGACAGCAAAGCTTTTCATTCCAGTTAACACTATATTAGACAAGTATTGCAATGATAAGGGGTTAGCATTATCATAATGTGAAATCACCTCATGACGATATTTGTTAATACCTATATACATCATGGAAAGAAAACCAACAGACAGATTTGACTATTGCTTGAATGTTTATGTACTCTAGATTATCTCCCCTTCTGCCATGCCACGTACTATCACAGTATTTAAAGTTTTAAAGATAAATGTAACAAGAGTTTTTAAGGAACAGAGAATCCTTTGTCCAAAATATCCACATTATATTGGTAATGTTGTCCTTTGTCTATATTAAATAAGATATTCTCTCCTGGAAAATAATTCAAATTTCCATCACTTAATTTTGTCACATGCTAGAAGGATCATTCCTGAGGTTACATATGTCAATCTCCATACAACAGGGACAGTAGAAAATAATTGCTCTCTGCAACAATATAAACTCAAAATTTGTATCTAGACATTTCAAAGATTGAAAGATATTGTAGTTCCTTAAGTAGATCACCGAGGATGTGTATCATTTATAAAAGAGGTGTGGAAAAAGTCAAAAAAAGTACAAGGAGAGCATCTGACTGTAAATATTATAATTTCGATCATCATATAACACTTGTTTTCTATACAAACACCAGTATATAAAGGTTCAAAGATTAATTGTAACATTTTGCAGTTTGCCGTTATAAAATTAACATTTCTGTAAAACAAATATGTGAAACCAAAAGCACATCATTTGATAAAATAAGTTGTGAAACCAAAAGCACATCATTTGATAAAATAAGTATCTTTAATTTCAAGGAAAGTAAAGCTTAAAATATCCATGATTAAGTGATGATGATAATTCATTCTTGAAAATGTTTTCAAACTAAATGTTAAAAGCATGTCAATTGTTTCAACACCTAATTCCTCTTATAAAGGTAAACAAAACAACATGGTACAAACTGTAATAATCAGTGAGCAGAAGTACTTTTGAAGTGCATCAGCTTAGCAGAGCCAGAGAAATTTTGGTGTGTTGTACGAGTTGCCTGTTCATATTAAGACGTATGGTGAGTCTCCTATCCACAATAACTGAATGGAGAGTCACCTGTCCACATTGGATTAAGTGTTGGTTCCACTCAGGCTCTGAATAGATCAGATAAGGTTCTATGTTAGGTTGGGCTTAGTTATATGTAAATAGGTTGTATGGAGAATTACCAGTCCACAGTAAACTGTAAGGTGTGTCTCCTCCACAGTAAACTGTAAGGTGTGTCTCCTCCACAGTAAACTGAAAGGTGTGTCTCCTCCACAGTAAACTGTAAGGTGTGTCTCCTCCACAGTAAACTGTTAGGTGTGTCTCCTCCACAGTAAACTGTTAGGTGAATTATCTGTCCAGTGACCTAAAGAGTTACCTGTCCACAGTAAACTGTAAGGTGTGTCTCCTCCACAGTAAACTGTAAGGTGTGTCTCCTCCACAGTAAACAGTAAGGTGTGTCTCCTCCACAGTAAACTGTAAGGTGTGTCTCCTCTACAGTATACAGTAAGGTTTGTCTCCTCCACAGTAAACAGTAAGGTGTGTCTCCTCCACAGTAAACTGTTAGGTGAATTATCTGTCCAGTGACCTAAAGAGTTACCTGTCCACAGTAAACTGAAAGGTGTGTCTCCTCCACAGTAAACTGTAAGGTGTGTCTCCTCCACAGTAAACTGTTAGGTGAATTATCTGTCCAGTGACCTAAAGAGTTACCTGTCCACAGTAAACTGAAAGGTGTGTCTCCTCCACAGTAAACTGAAAGGTGTGTCTCCTCCACAGTAAACTGAAAGGTGTGTCTCCTCCACAGTAAACTGAAAGGTGTGTCTCCTCCACAGTAAACTGTAAGGTGTGTCTCCTCCACAGTAAACTGTAAGGTGTGTCTCCTCCACAGTAAACTGTAAGGTGTGTCTCCTCCACAGTAAACTGTTAGGTGAATTATCTGTCCAGTGACCTAAAGAGTTACCTGTCCACAGTAAACTGTAAGGTGTGTCTCCTCCACAGTAAATTGTATGGTGTGTCTCCTCCACAGTATACAGTAAGGTGTGTCTCCTCCACAGTAAACTGTAAGGTGTGTCTCCTCCACAGTAAACTGTAAGGTGAATCATCTGTCCAGTGACCTAAAGAGTTACCAGTCCACAGTAAACTGTATGGTGTGTCTGCTCTCCACTGTGAGCTGTAGGGAGTCCCATGTCCACACTATGGTGTATCGAGAGTCACATGTCCACAGTGAACTGCAGGAAGAGTCACATGTTCACTGAAGCAGTGTGGGCTGTATATCAAGTTATCTGTCTACAGTAAACTGTATGGTGTGTCACTTTACCACAGTATGCTGTATGGAGAGTTACTTGACCAAAGTAAGTTGTAAGGAGACACTCATACACTGTTGGCTGTATGGAGAGTCACATGTTCACAGTATGGCAAGTCAACTGTCCACAGTAACTGTATGGTGATTACATGTCCACAGTAACTGTATGGAGAGTCACATGTTCACAGTAAACTGTATGGCAAGTAAGTCGTCCACAGTAACTATGGAGAATCACATGTCAACAGTGAACTGTATGGCGAGTCAGTTGTCCACATTAATCTGTGTGAAGAATCACCTGTCTACAATAAGCTGTATGTTGAGTAATAGATAAACAGCTTTAATCTCTGTGTGATGTGGAGAGAGATATCTTTTACATGAGAATGATGTTTCAAAATTTAAAGCTTTGTGCTAAATTTTGAAATACAATGTATTTATCTTAAGGGCGAGATATTTCTATCCACATCACATATTTTTTCCCTACATTTTCCTTTTTTGAAATATCTGAAATTATAGTCTTGAAAGGTGCATGTCAGACCATCACCAATGGCGTAATACATGTGAATCAAATTTGATGACATTTTCCAACTTTTATATGGTTACGCAACATATAGTGGTGACATGTCCCCACTATTAGAAATGAACTCATAGCTTGTGTGAGCCATCCTCTGTCTTTTCCTGGGTTATAAAACAAGTTTATCTTTCTCTAGAAAACACAAGAATGCACCAGTGAAAATTTGGAGAAAGTCCTGTCCATAGTAAACTGCATGTAAAGTGATCTGTTCATAGTAGATTACACAAAGTAACCTGATCAAAGTCCGAAGTCAATGCTGTGTGGTACGGATTTGTTCTGCGATATCATTTATCAAAGAAACAGAGGAGTTGTACTTCCTGACAACAATTATCAATACAAATGCTGTCACAGAAAGCTTGAAATCACCATCACTGAGCAAAACACACAATGAATTTCATCACTTTTGGCTGCTAATCAGAGGAACAGAAGTCTGCTTGGAGTTTTTATTACCTGTGAACAGAGAATACAATGCTATTAACCACACTGTAATCATGCATTTACAAATTCTATATGGTTTCAATATTTAGAGGCTGGGAACCAGCGTCTATGGGCAAGACTCCGCAGAGTAGTAAAGATGACTTGTCTTTTCCTGACAAACAAGAGGGGCAATGGGCCTGCATCGCTCACATGGTGTTCAATGTCCATTAAAAATAGAATCAATTTTTATCACAAATACATTAACACTTACACCATTGGCATTCAAAGTGGCAATCCAATCAATTCTTACCAATTTCCACGACATACTGCCAATGGCAGTCCTGATGTGGATTGTAGGTAAATATCAATTCCCTTTTTCTCAACATTTGTCAGGGTTTTACATAGAAATACCTTTCCACTAAATATCTTGCTTCTTGGACTTTGGTTTGCCAGAAGAAGTTGTATTAAGGTTTTAACAAATTTGAACCCTGTGACCTCGAATAAGGATCAAAGTCAATTTCTTGGCAAACTTGATCTGGCTTCATCCTACAAACCTATCGGCTAAATACCATGCTTCTACGCCTTTTGATAAGTTACTAGAATTTGTTTGAAGGTTTTAACGAATTTGACCCCTGTGATTTTGAATAAGGGTCTTGGTCACTTTTTTCGGCAAAATTTGATGGAATTAATTCTTAAAACTTCTAACCCAAATAATACGCTTTTGCATATTTTGGTTAGTTATCAGAAGTTGTTTAAAAGTTTAACAAATTTGGCCCCTGTGTCCTCGAATAAAAGTCCTAGTTATTTCATTTCATGAACATTGTAAGGCTTCATCCCAGCAACCCACCAGCCAAGTATCATGACATCTGGCCAGTTTGTTATTGAGAAGAATTTGGTTTAAATGGAAAACTTGATGCTGGACGCTGGGTTAAAAACCCAACAACACACATCTCCCTATATAAACATTAGGCTGATGGGCCTTAATGGTCTCCTGATTATTAAGACCTACGTATACAAGAGGCCATATAGGCCTACATTGCCACTACTCCTCATTTCCCAAATTATTTAAGTACCAATTTATCCCCAAATCATGAATTCATACCTTTAAACTTTTTCACAGCTCTCCTTCGTTCTTTCGAATCGTAGTACCATACTGTTATGGCATATCTGTCAACATAACCAATGCAATGTTTAATTTTAAAAAAATGAGATAAAAATATTTAACAACATATACCAATATAATTATTTTCTGATAAAATGCATATCATGTAGTACAAAAAAATAATGAAATCAATTCCACAAGTGGATCACCTGGCCCAGAGCAAATTTCCAATATTCTGGAATCTCTTAACCCCTTTGACTCAAGGATGGTTAAGATATTTTGCTCATTTCCTCTGATTGGGCACAAACTATACAAACGTATGTACCTGTTGGCCATTTGGTCAAATTTCATTAGAATATACATGTGTACACCACTTTTTCCCCAATTAAGCTCTATCCTTTAACACTGAGAGGGTTAAACTATCTGTATATCTTGGTCCCGTTCACACCACCAAATTTGATCAAAATTACATGTGCAGTTCTAGACTAGAAGTTCAAATAGAAAGTTGATACTGTGCTTAAGATGCATCTATCTGCATGTAAAAAATCTTTATCATAAAGCAAAGAATTACATTTTTCCAACTAGGACTATGCTACTTTAGAATAAACGAACCAAGTTTAATTTGAGTATCAAATACCTTTTATGATGCTTATTCTTGTCAAATTTATATATATCTGGATACCAAGTACAGTATTTATATTAATCCAAGCCTCTTCCTAAATTAATGAACTGTGCTGTACATACTTAATGCCATTTAGAAGACAAGGAGTCTTTTCTTGGCTAAACATCCCTCACATTTAAATGCAGGATATGTTTCTTTATTTGGGAATTCTTTCCCGTTAGAAAATGGACCTAAAACTGGACTCAAAGGAAATCCTATTTCAGCGCTCCTCCTCTGGTCATTACCAAGTTCCAGAAGCTTCAAGTCATATGTAAATGATAAACATTGTATACTTACCGTGTTTTGTAGGCTGGCATAACTTCATGAGGATTCCGTCTGTCCGACCAAAAGAAGAGCAGACGGTCAAATTTGGGTTCAATGGAGGCCACTGTATTTTGGCCTTCCGGGAATATTTTAAGTAGCCCACCATTAACCTGATGAACAGATGAAGAATTCACTTTTAAAATAGCAGTAGTATAACCAAGAAAAAACAAATATCTCAAAACTGAATCAGTGCAATCATAAATTATAAATGACATAAAAACAAATGAAATTTGTTAATTTCTGAAAGTTTGTTGGGACGGCCATCTTAGAAATCTGACATCAACATATCAGTAAATTGTCATAAAAGATGTACTAAACCTTTTTTTTCAACAACAAAAGTTTCATTTTCATCAAAAAGGAAAAAGAAATCAAAGTTTTGAAAGTACTGAGATACAGAGTCTTAAAACAAAATGTATGTTTAGTAAAATGTGACAATCAGTATTTGACAAGGCATAGAAATCCACTTATGAACATTTTCTTCTACCAGGATAAAGCTACTTTTTAAAAAAATTTTGTATAATTTGTCATAAGCTTATTGATCCAGATTTCTCTGGCAGTAATTAAACCAGGTGTTTTTATTTTACTGAATGACATTAAAACAATGATTTATTGACTTGTTAGAAATGTTTGACACTTCCTCCTCAGATACTGATTCATGTCTGTAGTCTTCCACAACTTCGTTAAGAAAAGAAATGAATTATAACCCTCATAAAACGAAATACATGCATACAAACATCTACATGTAAATAAAGTTAAGAAACAAAGACATGGTTTGTTGCTGTAAATATAAAACAAGAACTGAGTTGAGTCATTATTTATTGAAAATCATCAATACTGACATTGAACATCAGTGATAATTTGATTGTAATTTTTGTTTGTGTTAATAACCCCAGAGACGAAAGATGGTATTTAAACAATGCATCTATATACATCATTCTACAGACATATAATACATTGTTTAAACAATACATTTATATACATCATTCTACAGACATATAATACATCATTTAAACAATACATTTATATATATACATCATTCTACTGACATATAATACATCATTTAAACAATACATTTATATACATCATTCTACAGACATATAATACATCATTTAAACAATACATTTATATACATCATTCTACAGACATATAATACATCATTTAAACATACATTTATATACATCATTTAAACAATACATTTATATATATACATCATTCTACAGACATATAATACATCATTTACACAATACATTTATATACATCATTCTACAGACATATAATACGTCGTTTTGAACAAAATGCCTGATTACCTAGTATATAACTAATGAAAGAAATCCTTATCTAATCAAATTTGTCTGACTAAATAACATGCTAATTACGCAGCTATATTTAGCCTTCAAATCTCATAATGTTCGCACAAAGTTCACATACTGACACAAACTCGCCTTCATCCTGCTGGATTCTGGGTAAGTACTGATGTCAACCAGGTATAGTAAAGCAGTATCAATAAAGTGTGTGATTGCATTGTCTACAATAACACAGAGATATTTTGTTCAGTATTTTTGCACAAGATCCAGTTGTATGAGACAATGAACTGGCTGTTCCGTGATAATAACAGTATCAGTACTCCCCCACATTTTGGCACACTCTTTGTTTTGTTGATGCAGCCTCCTTTTAAATACACATTGTCACTATTCTAAACAACGCTTGAGGTAGCGCTATTTTTAGGAAAGTATTTCCTGGTGAAGCTGGACATTGGATCTCCAAATATGGTTTGAAAAAACAGGAACAGACAACTGCAAGCAATAACTATTTATGTCAGAAAATTGAAAGTTCTCATATATTTCATCAGGGGAGTGGTGACCACCTTTAAATATCAGGCAATATGCACTTATACCGGAACAGTGTCCTTTATAGGCTGATGAGGCCACATGAATGCCACAGGCCATTACTGCTGATAATAGTAGCCAGGGTTTTCCATAATTTTGCTAGTAGTAGGCTGCGTAGTGAAAGTAGGAGGCAGGCTTGCCATGTACGTGTAGTCATGTATGGAACATTATTACGGAACTGGATTGGTGTAGGCAGCCAAATGATCAAAGCCGGTCAAATTGGCCGGTGACCGGCTCTTATGGAAAACCCTGAGTAGCGATCAATTCTCCGTTGGTTGAAGCCATATTTCACAATCTGGTCAAACATGCTGGTGTCTGTATACATCAGTGCTGCATGGAATTTCAATGTACACTCCTTCATGTTTTACACTACTGCCAAAGTTTTGATGTTGCGTCTCCTGCAAAATTAAAGTACAGACTGTTTATATGTAGCTCAATGACATGAAATAAGAGGGAACAGATTAACTACTTTATTCGACACTAGTCGTTTGCACTGTAGACAATCACTCATAAAAAATATCTCGAAAAGTGAAGAAAAATAGATGTGAAGTAATCTGACAACTAGAGCAGTCTTCTACATAATATTTCAGCATATCCTGCTCACATCCTGGTTTGTATGTAAGAAGATAAGAATGCACAGTCACACTGATATAAAACACTGCATGGTTTATTCATCTTCCGTGAAATCCTTCACCTTGCATTGTTTTTCACCAGTCTGCTGTCTTGATCCAACTTTATTCTGAGGTGAAATGTTTCAAAAGTAATGCAAAGTTTTTTTTTAACTCTTTCTTGCTAAACAAACTTTTAATCAGTTATGGAAAAAATAAAGTTTTGTGCAAAAAAACAAAATGAAGAAGTACAGTATTTAAAGTGTATATAACCTACACTGGACTGTATAAGCAGAAAGCTACAGTGCATATCATTTCAATCAGACCTATCTTGTACATTTAGATACCAAACTACCAATAGAACAGCTAGGAAGTTATCTTTTCATATTGGGTTTGTTTTAGGAATAAAATTGATCACCACCTTTTCAGGTTCTTATCATTATCAGTATAAATTCTCAGCATCACTGTCAGAAGATACATATAGGATGAAACAGTTGTATCAAGTTGAATTCATTATACAACTATATTGTGTCAAATTCAAAGTTGAAATCCACTATTCTCCTGTACATCTTTTTAAAATTTCCTTACTTTAAATGGTTCAGGTTGGGGTGGAGGATTTTCAAATATATAAATATTAACCCTATTGCTTGAACATGTACGAAGCAAAACATTTTATTGCATAATGTAATTATCATTCATTTCTAACTGAAATAGTACACTAGTCTTGCAAACATAGCAGGACTTCATTAGAAAGTGATAAAAAATATTCATTGGGAATAGGAAGGAAATACAGTGCAGTATACTACCATGACTAGTGCTAAAACAGGTGCGATACTCAAACAGGAATGGTGCTTTTTATATTTCTGGTACTCGTTCCATAAAAACGAACTACTTGTCCACACATGATGTCCGATAATTATGGGGTGTATTGACACTTTTCTACCTCTAATAAAAAGCTCTTTAACTACCGTGGTAATTTGAATCTAGCAGACAATAGAGCAGCCAATCCTGCTACATCCCACAACTGCCAAAATAAATGTTGGTTCCTAACAAGTTTTCATACTTCATCAGTTACATATCTCACCTAAAACTAAAGTATTACATCAAATATTCACTTGACATATTTTACAAAATATATTACAAATCAAAATACTGGTTGACAATATCCTATAGTGAAACTTGTGCTGAATTTTTATTTCAGGGACCGATCGATACAAAAAAACACTGTTTATTTTTACAATATTTTCCATTAAGAAAATAGTCTTTTGTATTTTTTTGATGCAGGAGAGGTTTTTATATTAATATACAGAGCAACATCACGTCAATATTGTAAGTATTTTCTATTTTAATGGGGGTGTTCAAGCATAGGTTCCAACTTCCATCAATATCTCTCATTACACCAGTGATGATGGACCAACTAGCGAAAATTAAACATTAGTGTATGTGATTCTAATATTACTGAAAATGCTCAGGACATGTCTCTCCTATGTTTAAACAACAATGATTGAAACTGTTGACAAGTATTCAAATTGAAACAGCAAAAAATTTGTTTTGTGTTCGAGCACGATTCAGGTGAGTATAGAAAATGGCACAAATGATAAATAAACTGTGATGGAATTTTGCAATTATAAAGGTTAAATTATACATAATTCAAACCAGAATATATACAAATTATCTACGTACACAATACTCACCTGTAATACTGGTTCACCAGTACTTATGGAAATCCAGTCAGCACCAAATTAAAAACGAAAACATCCGATTGCATTAGTATCAGCCGTTTGTATCATATAATTGTTGAACTTCCATATATAACAGAATGGAAACCTGCCGATATCAATCAGTAGATAGTATTTGCTAGTAACTTCAATTAAGGTATTGGAGATACTTCAAATGTTGGAAATGCTACATCGGCATTTTGAAATATATATACTTTTCAGTATCGTAACTCGTAAGCTGGACACGCATGAGTTGGCACTAGCCAGAACTACTAGCTTAGGCAATAGATAGACACAGAAAACGGTAATTATTTATGTCTTAGTGTTAGGAGACCATTTCTGAGAATTGCTAGTTGATCTGGATTGCTTTCTTTTACTAACATGATCCTCATGTATGTGGAACTTTCTTCCAAAGCATTATTCACTATGCAAATTTAATAAAACATAATAAAACACGAAGACTTTTTGTAAATCTGTCTACATGTTTCGGCCGCTATGCAACCGTCATCAGGCGGCCGAAACATGTAGACAGCTTTACAGAAAGTCTTCGTGTTGTTTAGATTCATTTTTGTTTTATTGTGTTTTATTAGTAAGGAACTCTATTGAATCCTAAGGATCCAACCGAAGACACTACCGCAAATTCTTACATTAGGAGTGTTGGATCGCCCATTATTTACTATCTATGCAAATTTGTAACAGTGGGAAAATCGCAATTAAATGAGCGTGTGAAAAGATCAATCATATTTAATGTTAGTATGTCAAGGGTCATGGTACTCATTTACAAAGGCTTACAAACAGCTCTGTGCCCAAAATTTACTTTTAACTCAGTTTCATACATAATCTTGATTGGTACCCAAGGTAATATGGAATTTGTTTTCATCAAAAACCAATAATCGTGACTAAATTAATGATGCTTTTCTTGCAAAAGACCACAAACTGTCATGAAGGTTGTCCAGACTTATCTTGTAAATACTGCACGGAAGATAAGTCTGCATACAGCTTACCTTTGCTTCCCAATCTTTGTTGAGGTAATAAATACAGGTGACACAGCGCCCGTCACCATTGGGGTTGTCAACATGTCTCATGTAATGAGAGCCCTTCCCAGGATAGCATGCTACCATAGCCTGCAAGAAATTTAACACATTAAATTAAGCTATGTATTTGTTAGTCTCAAGCAGCAAATTTAACTCCGTTCTTCTCAGTGGTATAAAACACATGTTCAGTAAACATTCTGCAGGTACAATCCAATAAAATGCACAAAGGATGGAAGATCTGAATTTTATGAGTTCACTTAATTCATTATTTGTCAACAAAAGCACACTTAAAAGCGTACTGCCATATATTACTATTTTTTCACGAAGGTCAAGTTTGCAATACAGAGGTATGACTACTCTTTATTGTTCACCTTCTTTTTGATGAAAATATAATCTCTGTTGGTTACATGATTATGTACAAATCAAAACTTGTGAAATTTCAAAAGTATGAAAAAAATTGAAATTTATAAATAGTCAAAATCTCTAAAATGGCAATTTGGCATAAGATTTGCAGTGCAGTATGTGTTCATTTCACCTAATCAAAGACCTTATAACATTCCAGTACATGTATGCAATCTAACAATCTTGTGCATTCCATTTAGTACTCCAGATCAGAACCTTGGAATGAAAATTCCAGGTACACATTTAAATTCATTACTTGCACAGGATAATTTATGATCCTCTACACCAGACTAAAAATATTTAAAAATCTAAAATGCGCTTGTGACAAACCCTAACAATATTCAAATATTTGCTGCCCATAACACTTTATAAATGTCCCTGTCAGCAAATTTTGCCTCCTACATAAGAGCACGGAATATCAATCATGGCACAAAAAGTCACACTATTATTCATGACTGTAACACAGCTCAACAATCAAATGGAGAATCAGTCATTTTACTAAGCAATAGTGCTAAACCTTGTCAATATTGATCTTTCTCACAATTTTTTTCCAACTTTACCGTAAAAAATATTGCAATAGATATTTTTTGTGTTGCAATTTTTGTCAATACCCTCCCTTACTAAAACACTAACTCCTAAAAAATAAAAATCAATCACTGGTTCTTATATCTGCATTTTATTACCGGTAGTGTAGTTTTATTACCGGTAGCGTAGTTATGATTTAGCATATTACTCTCCTAAATGAACGCCGCCAGTTTGTGAATTTCTTGTACACTGTAATATTCATATCCAGATGGTGGTCTAAAACTACAAATTAATCATAAAAGGTACAGTTTAATTCTTCAATTTTTCTCAAGTTCATTTATCCAATTTTTCAACTGTATATGTAAGTTAAATGTGCTTTAAATGACATATGATTAAATCCTTAATAATGATTATATTAGCATAGTGCTGAATCAATTGCAAATGGTACCTGTATTATAACAGAAGTAATCACCTGATTTAGTGTTATGGTACATGCAGTATTTTGGTCAATTCGTTCAGATTACACCCTTTCTAAGCATGATCAACGGTTATACTAACAACTAGATATATTAATAATTGCAATCTAGAATAGCCAGACATAGTTATAGATAATTTGATAAACCATTTTAAAAATATTATTTATCAATGAACTAAAAGTTATAAACAGTTTTCATTTCTGACTATAACTTATATACGTAATATATCTGAGAGTTATATCAAATTAAAACAGGAATTTCAACAAGAACCATAATTATTTCTAAAGCATTGACAACATCAATTTAAGACAACTATATATATCCCAGTGAGTATGACATGAACTGGCCCATGATCAAACAGGTAAAATACCATGACAAAAGTCTGTAAAATTTGTAGTTATTGAAAACGAAATGCAGCTTTTCTATAATTGTCCGTAAAAATTTACACCAAAACGTTCGAGAAATGTATTGTGATCTAATGAAACTAATGAATGACAATATCATTTGAAGAACTTGTCCAGTCATTATGTGTGTACTGAGAAGAGTGGTCTTGTGCCCAATATAACCTAATACTCTACCACTGTAGGTATTGCCATTACATAACTTTAGTAATAATAGCATTGTGCAACAAGTATTTTAAATTAATATTTTTTTTATTTATTCATAGCCCTAACATTGGAAGTACATGTAGATACTTTTTCTCAAACACTTAACAAAATTTCCAGAAGAAAAAAAGATAGAAAAAAAAGTCCAGTCATGCCGTTTCCATTGACTGATTTAATCAGTGGTTAATTGCTCTACCTTTGACTAAGACAAACTGATCATGCTTTTCCTAACAACTGATCATGGCTTTATCATAACTATAGTATGAAAACTTTCAAGAACTGATCAAGTTTTTTGAAGCGATTGAATTAAGAACTTACTCTTTAACCATAATTTGGGATCAAGTAAATAATGATTTTTTTATATTGAAATGAAGTCTCAGAATCCAAAAAAACACTTTTGCCATTATGATATAGTATCCTAAAAATACCTGTAGTATCATAGATATTTTAGTTTCAGCTTATTATCATAAAGTCAACTGTGAATCATCAGAAAAGAATTAAATAATTAAAAAGTTCAAATGTCATGTTTCATAGCATTAGTATTACATTCAATGGTAATTGTATGAGAGAAAGCAAGCCAACAATAACACAGTTTCCCTATTTCCGAAATTAGTTTCCAGTATAGCACTATACTTACTTTTTAATATATATATATGAAAAAACCTATTGTAGTCAAATGAAATCATAATATACAGCCCTTGGAGATTTTAGACTCAAAACTTTATAGATATTGGTAAGCAATCTATTTTTTGTATTTTATATTTTCTATAGGTGTATTTGATCATATCAAATATTTTCTAATGCAATGACCTGACCAGATCGCTAGCTTTGACAATATATACAAGCTCTTAATATTTTTATTAATTGTTAAAGGCTAGTTTTCTAATGTTAACAATAATATAATCTTAAAGGGATTGATATGCAATTTATTCTCTGCTAGAACCATTTAATGCATTAAAATGCAGGTGTTGAAAATAAAAGCCTTGTCCATCTTTCCCATAATTATTAAAATTAGCCACAAATATTTTTCATTATTAATGATAAAGCCTTAATAGAATTTCAGGAATTCAGAGAAATATGATGGATTTTCTTATATACATGTATATAGCTCTGCATATCCTGATGATTTTTATCATACTTTTGGAAAAATTGAAGTTATAAATGTATAAATCTCACCTGTGACTGATCCCTATATAACATCTACTAATCCCATGCATAGTTATATAGATCGGTTTTTTATATAACATCTATACAGACAAAATGAAACATTAAGCAACAGTGGCATCATTCACTTTGCATAAACCACCAACTTTGATTACCTTTGTCCTTCCATTGATATCAAAGTGTCCCAGTTGTCCTGCACATTGTAAAATCACAGCATCCACAGAGGAAATTAAAAACTGCACATTGTCACATCCTGGTTCGGTACCATCTACCCAAGTAATAATGTCTCCACGAATTCTTTTAGTAGATTTCATTGACTGATCTATAACCTGTCCCCCTGAAAATGTCCCAGACTTGTGCAAAGACATCACATTTTCCAAGATCTCTTGTCCTTTAGACTCACCCAGAAAATTGTCAACAACACAGATACCATATTTATTAAGACAATTTACAACATACTGGGCCAGTGCCTTATTTCTGCTCTCTATAATTGATATGTATGTCTGTCGGGTATTTACATCCCCTTTAGGGTACATGGTACTCTCGGAATGTTCAGATTTGCCCGAGCTATAATCAGGCTTGCACAAGGCTGAATCGTCTGATTCTAAAATAAACGTCTCCGAACTACCCTCTGTTATGAAAGTATCATTATTTGAACTTTCCAAATATGAACCTGACGGAACAACCTCATCAGATAAGTCCATACTACGGAATGACATGTTTTCGACATCCTTGTCGTCTATGTCCGAGCTCTCACGTACACCACTTTTCGCCTCCGGGGATTCAAAGTCACCGGAAAGCTTATCCCTTAGTTTCGATCCAGGAGATGCAAAAGGACGGGGTCCGCTGCTTCCGTCTTTGGCACATTTCGGAGGAAGGTTCGCGTGTGTTGATGAACCAAATGATGTGTTTGTTTTTAAATGTGATACACTGGTATTGTCACGTCCCACACACTCCATACCAGAGTTGTTGACCTCGCCCACTCTGGTTTGTAATTCCGCGCTTGTCATGTTGAAGCCGTCGTTTCTATCACTGTTAGCTTTACAGTCGCTGTATGTTTTTTTCTTGCACGTTTTCTTGTGATACTTCCAGTCATATTTTTGGTGTTCTTTACTACAATACCAAGTCGTCTTACACCTACTGCACAACTGGAGGTCATTATGAGACCCACACAACTGACACACAATGTGTTCGTTCGGGATGTCACGTACGCCTTCCGCCATCTTATTTTCTCCCAGTGTGGGGAGCGGTTATTAATTCCTAAATCACATGATTTATATTTGTATTTGTTTATGCGACATCTGCTTATCGGATATTTAACTAAAACTGACAGTTGAAATAAATACACTTTCTTTCACTACTGTGTGGTAACGTTTTATAATGAATCCACGCCAATCACGGGGAGCAGTCTGTATTTGTCAGAGGGTGAACACAAACGTTATATATATGGAGGTGACACCGCTATTCCGAAGGCCCGTTATTCCGAAGGCCCAATACTCCAAAACCCGAAAATATCACTGTTATGTTATCTTCGTGAAAGCTAGCGATGAAACACAAATTTATTGCAATATGGTGTTCACGAAATTTGAATTAGTTTATTTACGACATCTAGGCAGGATACATCAAGACAGGATATTGTTTGACCCACAAATTTATTTATAAAATTTTCATATATAAAGAAACCACAGATATCTTCCATTATCAATCTATGTCAGTTTTGAGATGACCCTGTGATTCATTTTATCACGGACCTAAAACTTGATTTCATATGAGATTTTATAAAAAAAAATAGAGTCTTAGAAGTTTTTGATGCAAGCCCTAACAGCGGAAATTAAAACTGAAATAAAAACAAGGTTAAGATACTTTTAATCACTTAATTCATAACATTTACATTTTGACCGGTTTAAAAGTCAAAATATGAAGGGCTTAATCAAACCGAGGCAACCAATTTGTAGCGACATTTTCAATCATGCTATGACGTAGCGTCATTGTCTATAGTATAAAATCTCAATCAATTTTCTGATTCGCACATCAAATGAAAAACGGTAGGCCATGCTACGCTTGTATCACATGCCAATATATAACGGAGTGAATTTATTGGATTATAATAATGTGATAATTACATATATGAACACACAAAGGATTATGAAACTAGAAGGGCACATTTTTTAGCCTTTTGTTGAAAAGACAACTAAAAGTTAAAGCATTCTGATTAAACAATAACGAATACCATTGGACTGTCGGACCTTCAAAATATAATTCCGTCGCCCGTCTAGCGTTTGTCATTCAAAATCAGTCCCTCAAAAAATGGAAGTCTGAACATGTGTTGAAATATAGTGGAAAGCAACTGTAACAATTTTGTAGGTCCGCGTTTAGCTCTTCCAGACCTTGCCTGAACTGACTGGACTTTCCATGGACCGTCTTGCCTGGACTGATTGGTCCTTGCCTGGGCTGGCCGGACCTTGCCTGGACTTTGCCTGGGCTGACCGGACTTTGCCTGGACCTTGCTTGGGCTGACCGGACTTTGCCTGGACCTTGCCTGGGCTGACTGGACTTTGCCTGGGCTGACCGGACTTTGCCTGGGCCTTGCCTGGGCTGACTGGACTTTGCCTGGGCTGACCGGACTTTGCCTGGACCTTGCCTGGGCTGACCGGACTTTGCCTGGACCTTGCCTGGGCTGACTGGACTTTGCCTTGGCTGACCGGACTTTGCCTGGACCTTTCCTGGGCTAACCGGACCATTTGATACCCGTAATGAACATTTACTTGTGCTACTCAACATCCAGAATAACTAACAAAAGGGCCACAGGTCACATGACTATAGCAATCAAAGTACCGTAGTAGTTGTGGTTAGAGAGGATACAATTTGATATGAAATAATTAAAGTGACGAACCAAACTTTCACCAGACTATGCTAAACTTCCTCTAAGAAATATAACCATAAAAACCATTGACAAACACGCGGCAAAGGAGAGATAAATCTAAAGTACTGTTCTGATTTCAGTTTCTGAACAGTACCACACATCGTTCAAGAGGGCGAAGAAACTCAATCTAGCTTTAATATATGCTTGAAAAAATTATCATTATTATATAAGTCATCTTGTAGTAAAGTAATAGTAAGTCTGGCAAATGCTTAAGTGCTTTCGCCATGAAAATCATATTTAGAATGTTAAGTTAACTAGACTTGTCATCACGGTATCACTCCAGCATGATAAATTCTGCCACTCGAGCTTGTGGACAAGCCAACAAATTTACAGAACAGAGCCTATACTTGTTTAGAAACCTCTTTGATTACTTAACGTTAAATTTGAATATTACTGATTGTGAGTGAAAACGTCTCCGATGAGGGAAAACAGCTGGTTTGTATCGATTTTCAGGTGTCGTTCCATTGTGCATTATTAATTGATGTTACAATATCATCCATATGTAGCTACATAACACTTCATGTATTTGGTCAAGCTTCATAGTACGCTGTGTTTTTCTGTCCTGGTTGCTTTATATTAATCTTTTCCACTGTTCAACAGCACTGGATATTTAATTGTGCCGGTTTTATAAGAACCATTACGCTGATTCTGTCTAGACACCGACTGTCCGTTACACGTAGTAGTTAAAGGTTGTCACTATTGGTTAACGCAGGCCCATTGGGTTGGTTCCATTTACATGTACACCACTTTCAATCGAAACTTACTTCAAAGGTTTGTAAGAAAAAGTTGTATACTTCGTTAAAATCTTCGAGACGTTGGCTGTGTACTCCTGCATGTCAACATGTATTATTAGTTAATTTGGTTGTGTGTTCGAGTCAACTCCAAGAAAAGTTAAAAGTATACTTCGTCCAAATGTATGATAAGCTGACATACAAATGTAGTTGAATACTTGGTGTAAAAACGTATGATTTGAATATTTAATTTCTTGTTAGTAATATACCTGCTTCTATACACATGGTGTTTAATTGTCAGAAATGATTCAATCAAGAGCTTATTGCCATAATCACGATTTGCATTCAAGATATCGACAGCTGGTAGATAGTCTCAAAACATGACTTTATGAGGTGTGGTTTGATTAAGACTATGGGGAAGTTGTAGGGTCGCCATATTGATCTCATTGTGAAATATTGTATTTCCGTTTGCTCATATTAGAACGGGACATCACTTGTTTGGATTGACCGAAATTAGCAGAGTTTTTTTCTCCATGAGGCAGATAACGATAACCCTTCCGGAATTCGGTTTTGAGTTTACAAACATGTCTGTATTTTCTTATCAGCATTTGCAATATAAATACCACTAAGAATCGACAACACAGTATCCTGTAACGGTCATAATAGGATGGTAAAGTAATTTATACTGATGAAATGACTTTTCATGTTTACCAGTCAACAAAACCAACGAGCAAAAACCCTACCGAGTGAAGTTTGTAGGTTCAAATGGGAACCAAATGCTTTAGCACTGATCCCATAGAAATTCCAGTAACAAGTTTCAACTTCAATTTCAAAATTCATACTTTAAAAAGGACCAAGAACAAAAATGTTGAAAATGCTATAAAAAGAAATATGCAATACGTTTTAAAATATATCGATAATATATATCGAGCGGATGGGTAACTGAATGACTGACTGAGGGGTTGACCACGACTGACCGGTGAAAAAAATGGTTCTTCACTCGGGTTGCAAAGGTGAGGTAAAATTTCATGTTTACGTTGAAATCCCCTCGGGGATCTAATGTGCTTGGTCATTTTTTTAATATGCAATAAAACTGGGCCGTCTTAGCCAATATCAGTCTTATCTTTTACAGTAATATATAAACACGAGTCATGTCGTTTATGAGATTTATTACCAAAGAAAAGGAAACTGAGTCTGCACTGCAATAAACAAACACACAATTGTAATATTGTAAATGTTTATTCAAGCATGAAGAAATTGATTATGATGCAACGCAAACAAATATGAAATGTTTAAGATCATCAAACAAGACCTAAGAAAACTTCATATACACCATTGTGGATTGCATATTTCTAATGTAGATATATTATCATCAAAATAACGATATCTGCAAAATGATACGATATCTACAAACTGATACGATATCTACAAACTGATACGATATCTACAAACTGATACGATATCTACAAACTGATACGATATCTACAAACTGATACGATATCTACAAAACACGACATAACTCTGCAGGTAGATGAATCAGCCGTTGTCGTAGTAACTTAAATCATAATATAGTTAATGATACAACATACGGAGAAACATTGTATGGAGTTAAAACAGATTTTTTTTTTTTTTTATTTTGTTTTTCAAGATTTTACAAAGGTATGCAACACACGATATATACTAGACTCACATACACATACACACCCTGGCACACATCACACTACACCCATGTACACTCACTCAAAACATGCACTCATTATTTCCTACTCTTTCCTCTTTGCTGACATGACATACAATGTACTACTGTGTTTCATTCACAAGCCCCAATAATAATACAAACTCAATGACTGCTGTCATCATCATCATCATCATCATCATCATCATCATCATCATCATCATCATCATCGTCATCATCATCACATAGTTATCATCATGATCATCGTATCATCATCACTTCATTATCATGATCATCACCATATCGTCATCATCATCATCATCAGCAGCAGCAGCAGCAGCAGTAACACATATTCAGCATCGTAATCATCATATCATCATCACCACTTCATCATCAACCTTTCATCCTCATTATCACATCATACACTGATCAACAACAGAGCTGTTTATTATTATTAGTGTTTTGCCTCATCATCATCTATTCACACCTAATCCCCAAACATTATTCAAAATTATATGTTTTCAATAGTGTAATCCCAAACCAGAAGTGCAAGCATGGATTGGGAGTAGCGAGATACGCCCCACATAACAGCCTTTCCATGTTGCAACTTCTGCTTGTTTGCCGAAACAAAGTGTAATTCACATTAAAAAAAAAAAAAAATAAAAAAAAGGAAAAAAAAAAAACCTTTGTAAATAATTGAGGTGTGAATAGCTGGTGATGATTCTTTGTTATCTGCCCTTGTTGTCAAAGATTACACAGAGCATAGTACAGCCAGACTAAATGATAGCATAGAGGAAATATCAATAATTAACATTATACATAGATTGCTCTCTCTCACTGAATCATTCTCTACAATTACAGAAACAGACAAAGCGATTAAAACAGAAATAGGAAGATAAGGGATGGGGAGGGGGGAATGACATAAGAAGTCCATGGGATGTTGAAACAAATTTTTTGCTAAAGACAGTGAAACAAAGATATGACAGCACTGTCAAGGATAAAAAGTATTATAATTATTTAATATTCAATTGGATAAGATTTTCCCATTTTTTCCAATCATTTGTGAAATTTTGTTTGTAAGACGTGTTTTTGCTATTTGAAATATATTTTTGAACAGAATAGTGATTTTGTATAATCTTTACAATGGCGTTGATATTGAGAGTAGCATGGAGGCATCTTGTTTTATATATATAAAGTTTAATCATAAGAATTACTTCATTGTCAACTCTAAAGCTAGGGCTATTGTTCCTTTTAATTCCAAGTATAAAAGACCGTTTGTTGGCTGAGAATGGTATTAATAAAGAATCTGTTAGTGTTTCAAATGATTGTAAAAAGTTTTGCACTTCCTGACATTCCCAAAGGAGATGAGTGATCGATTCTCTTTCTGAGTTGCATAGATTACAAAGTGGACTGGACACAAGTTTTGCCTATTAGTTGTCAGAATGTGATGAGAGATCCTATACTGGAGCCATTGAAGTTTGGTATTTTTGTTAAAACAGATCTTATAATGAACTTATATGGACGAAAAATTGTACATTTGACACAGTACAGGTAATGAAACAATAACATTTAGCCAAAGTGACGTAACCTACGTTTATCAAGGAACGCAGTGGTGTTTAAAGTGCTATAGAAATGGTGGATGGGGTGTCATTTTAGATCATTTTACCAAAGATATAATAGTGGTTACAATGGGATGTAAACTAAGCAAGTGTTCACATGTCTGTTAGATGTGAGTAACATTAAGTATTAACATGCGTTATGCTGAGGTATTCTATATAACCGAAGCAGTAACTGAAAACTGGGATTCTGTAGCTGCAATTCAATGTTACATCTAAAATTACATCTAAAAGATATCCGATTTGTAGACTCAACATTCATTTGGATATTTGTCACCTCGTAAAAGCTGTAAAAAATATATCATTCAGCAAACAAAATACGTAGTGTGACTCAGATTATTAAAGTAGAATACATTTCAATACTAAATACCATAATGATAATTGGTACACACCTGATTATAGTAGGTGTTAATGTTTCGTTAGAATACTGCAAATCATTTTATTTTCGAGTTTTTTCTAACTACGACAATAGGTTTTGTTTTCGCCAATATAGAGAACGTTTTAAAGGGCTGGGAATCATTTGTGAAAAGCGTCATAGAAATGAGAAAATAAATTGATCTGCAGTAGCCGTTTTTAAACAAGCGAAATTTAACTTCTCAGATTTGGTTCTTTGGTCTACAAACAAAAGGTGTGAGCTTTATACCGACAAATACTGCTGTGGATGATCGAGAAATGACTTTATATTTGTTGCTACCTGATGGAGTACATCCTTATCCTTGCTGGAAAGCAGGTTGACTCCGGTATGGAAGTACAGTGGCAGGTTTCCTCTCTGGAGATAGCCGAGAAGACGATACGT